GTTTTTCTGAGAGCATCCTATTTATCATTTCTTACAGCATAATAGAATTCCATCACAATTATAAACCACAACTTGTTCTACCATCCCCCAATTGATGAGCATCCCCTCAATTTCCAATTCTTTGCCATCAGTAAATAACTGCTATAAATATTTTTGTATATGTAGTTCCTTTTCCTTTTTAAATCTCTTTTTGGATACAGACCTAGTAGTGGTATTGCTAGGTCAAATGGTAATGCATAGTTTTATAGCCCTTTGGGCATAGTTTTAAATTGCTCTACAGAGTGGTTGAATCAGGCCACAACTCCACCAACAATGCATTAATGTCTCATTTTCCCCACATACCCTCCAATATTGGTCATTTTCCTTTTCTGTCCTATTAGCCAATCTAATAGGTATGAGGTAGTACCTCAGAATTGTTTAGTTTGCATTTCTCCAATCCATAGTGAGTTAGAACATTTCTTTTTCATATGGCTATAGGTAGCTTTGATTACTTCATCTGAAAACTGTTCATATCTTTTGATCATTTATCAGCTGGGGAATGGGTATTATTTTTATAAATTTGACTCAGTTCTATAAATGTTTGATAAATAAGGCCTCTATCAGAAAAACTTTCTTCAATTTTTTCACAGTTATGATTGCTAAATGTATTTCCCTCCATTCTATCCTACCCCCACCCTGTTTATTCTATTCTCTCTCTCCTTTTACCCTGACCCTCCTCAAAAATATTTTTTCTTCTGACTACCGCCCCTCCTAATCTGCCCTCCCTTTTATCACCACATCGTCTCCCCTCCTACTTTCCTGTAGAGGAAGAGAAATTTCTATACCCAATTGAGCATGTATATTATTTTCTCTTTGAGACAATTCTGATGAAGGTAAGGTTCACTCCCTCCCTCCCCCACTTCCTTCCTCTTCCGTTACACCATAAAAGCTTTTTCTTGCTTCTTTTTTTGGTAAGATAATCCCCTTCATTCTACCCCTCCCTTTCCCTTTCTCCCAGTGCATTCTTCTTTCTCACACCTTAATTTTATTTTTTTAGATATCATCCATTCACACTGAACCCATACCTGTATCCTCTGTCTACATATACTCTTTCTAACTGCCTTGATAATGACAAAATTCTTATTAGTTACAAGTATCATTTTCTCATGTAGGAATATCAACAGTTTAACCTTATTAAGTCCCTCATGGTTTCCTTTTTCTGTTTATCTTTCTATGCTTCTCTTGAGTCTTGTATTTGAAAGTCAAATTTTCTATTCAGCTCTGGTCTTTTCATCAAGAATGTTTGAAAGTCTTTTATATCATTGAATGTCCATTTTCCCATGAAGGATTATACTCAGGTTTGCTGGGTAGGTGATTCCTAATAATCATCCTAAGTTCTTTCTACTCCAGAATATCATATTGCAAGCCCTCGATCCTTTAATGTAGAACCTGTTAAATCTTGTGTTATTCTAATTATGGCCCCATAATACTTGAATTGTTTCTTTCTGGCTGCTTAAAATATTCTTTCCTTGACCTGGGAGTTCTGGAATTTGGCTATAATATTCCTGGGAGTTTTCATTCTGGGACCCCTTTCAGGAAGGGATCAGTGGATTCTTTCAATTTCTATTTTACCTTCTGGTTCTAGAATATCGGGGCAGTTTCTCTGGATAATTTCTTTAAAGATGATGTCTAGGCTCTTTTTTATTTGGTCATGGCTTTCAGGTAGTCCAATTCTTTTTGAATTATCTCTCCTGGACTTATTTTCCAGGACTGTTGTTTTTCCAATGAGATGGTCTTCTATTTTTTCATTCTTTTGGTTTTGTTTTATTGTTTCTTGATTTCTCATAGTCATTTGCTTCCATTTGCTCTATGCTAATTTTTAAGAAATTATTTTCTTCAGTGAATTTTTGTACCTCCTTTTCTATTTGGCCAATTCTACTTTTTAAGTAGGCTTTTTTTTATCTTCAGTGAATTTTTATGCCTCTTTTTCCTTTTAGCCAATTCTGCTTTTAAGGCATTCTGCTCCTTACTGGCTTTTTGTACCTCTTTTACCATTTGGCCTAGTCTGTTTTTTAAGGTGCTATTTTCTTCAGTATTTTTTTGTGTTTCTCCTTTACCAAGCTGTTGACACATTTTCCACAATTTTCTTGTATTACTCTCATTTCCCTTACCAATCTTTCCTTTACCTCTCTTACTTGATTTTCAAAATTCTTTTTGTGTTCTTTTATGACCTGAGACCAATTCATATTTTTCTTGGAGGCTTTGGATGTGGGAGCTTTGATTTTGTTTTTTTCTGAGTGTGTGTTTTGAACTTCCTTGTCAACCATAGTAATGTTCTATGGCCAGAATTTTTTTTCTGTTGTTTGCTCATTTTTCCAGTCCATTTCTTGATTTTTAATTCTTTGTTAAAGTAGGGCTCTGCTTCCAGGGTGGAGGGTACACTGTCCAAAGCTTCAGGGGTTTTGTGCAGCTGTTTTCAGAGATACTTCTAGAAACCTATAAGTTTTCAGGTTTTCCAAGGTGGTAGGATATAAGGAGAGGTGTGTTTACTACTCTCCTGGCCTCTGTTCTGATCTGTGAGTAACCACAAGCATTCTTTTCTGCCCTGGAACTTTGACGAGGGTCTGTGCTCCACTGCAAGCTCTGGTGTGCTAGTGTTTCTCCTCGCTCTGGGACTGCCACCTAGGATTGCCACCCAGATCCAAGTCTGGGCAAAGCAACAAAGTCCTGCCCCTAGTGCCAGCAAAGAGACCCCTGTAATTTCCTTCTGATCAGTCATTTGACCCCCTTACCATCTGTGGGCTAAGAACACTGAGAATAGCTGCTACCACTGCTGATTTAGTGACCTTCAAGGCCTGCTCCTGGTTTGTGGTGCTGGGGCTATGCTGGTGCAGTCTGTGCTGGATTGTGCTCTACTCCCACCCTGGTGAGATAGACCTTCCCTGCCAACCTTTTAAGTTGTCTTTGACTGGAAAATTATTTTACCCTGCCATTTTGTGGGTTCTGCCTCTCCAGGAATTGTTTTGTGGCATTATTTAAAGGTGCTTGGAGGGGTTTTAGGGAGATCTCAGATGAGTCACTGCATTTTCTCAGCCATCTTGGATCCATCCCCCCCCTCAAACATTCCATTCTTAAGCTTTGTATTAACTATCAATTAGTGTCTAAGTTGATCTCTGTCAAGACTTGACATGCCTACTTGAGGCATGCCATGTCGTACTTATTGTCAATTCCTATTGCTTCTACCTCCACATCACCTCTTAACCTCTCCCTTTAATTCTACTCACACAGCCACCATCCTAGTTCAGGCCTTCCTCACTTCATGTCTATGTTATTATAAATAGTCTCCCAAATGGTTTCTCTTGCCTCCAGTCTTTATCCCCATCTTAGTCTCCCCCTTCTCCAATCCATACTCCAGATAGCTTCTGAAATAATCTTCCTAAAGCCCAGCCTGACCATGTCATTATCTTACTCAAAAACCTTCAGTGGTTTTCTAGTTTCTGTAAGATAAATTACCAGCCACTAAGACTTTTAAAAAATCTGACTGTTACCCACATTTCCAACCTTATTTCATGAACATTATTAACTTTCATGTACCCCATGTTTTACCCTCCCCCAAAAAACCCCAATCAATTAACTAGCTATGACCTATTTCTTCAGTTTGACATGCTATCTTTTGCTTCTTTGTATCCAAACAGGCCATCTCCCATGCAGATTTTCTCCACGTGTCCACTTGTGGCCTATAGAATCTTAGTTTCCTTATCTATAAAACAAAGGGGATGGATTTATAAGCTTCCTCCATTGGCAAGCCTGATGACACTTATCAGTGCTTTCTTCCTCTCCAAAATTTCCTACATCCTTTTGTCTGACTCTCTCCTTTGCACCCAGAATTCTCTATTCTCCCTCTCTCTCTCCATATATATATATATATATATGTGTGTGTGTGTGTGTGTATACATACATACATACATACATACATACATATATTATATATATATATATACATACACTCTTATCAGCTCCTTAAGATCAGGGAAAGGCCATCATTTAAAAAAAAATCTTTATGTCCTTGACCCTTAGACAGTTTCTTCTCTATTTGGAGATGTTGAGTGTCCTAGATTTGTGATTTGATTTGTTTAGGGAGCTCCCAGTCTGGAAATTCCCTCTGCTAATGCAGAATGGCACTTGCTCTATAATTTAATCTCAGAGAATTACCTGGGCCACTGAGAAGTAAAGAGACTTTTCTAATGTCAAAAAGCCAGTAAGTCAGTAGAAGGGCTTGAAGCCATGTTGCCTTGACTCTAAGGTCAGTACTCTATTTGCTTGCTAGGATATCTTTTGTATAGGAGACACTTCATAAATAGTGGTTGGATTAACCATAATTTTTTGAATTGAGACAAGGCTCAAATCCTGCTTTAAGGGCTTAAAATGCTATTATAGAGGTACTATCCTCAGGTCCACTATTTTACATATATGGACACTACCCTCAGGGCCCCCAGCCTGATACAGATACACAGACCCTGCCTTTGGGGGCCCCCAGGTGGACACAGATGCATAGATTCTCCCTTCAGAGTTCCTACTCTGACCTAGACATACAGATCCTGACTTCATGGGGTGTCTGTTCTGATACCCTGACCTTATGTCTCCTTCTTTGACAAAGATGCATAGATAGAAACCAGTCTCTTAGGTGTCCAAAGCAGATTTATGGGCATAGGCAGGTAAGAAAAGGACACATAGACAAATGAGGACAAACTGTAGGTCTAGACATACACAGGTATGAGATATTTATCTAAGTAGTGAGATATTTATACCATGCATGGGTCAGTATAGAGAAAGTTGAGAGCATTTTAGACTTAGAGAATGGGGGTCAGGGTGAGGACTTCTCTGGAAAAGGTAGAGGGGTGTGTGTGTGTGTGTGTGTGTGTGTGTGTTGGGGCAAAGTTGGGGTATGTGTGAAGAGATCATATTTTCACAGAAGGACAAACTCTCCATCTGGTTGGGCTCTTTGGATTACGTGTCTTTGCTTATCTTGGTAGAGAAACTCCAGGTGAGCTCTCTTCCCTTCCCATCCCAACTCGACTGGGTGTCAGCAAGCACAGGATTCTCTCAGCAATACATCGGGTCCTGACCCCATAGACGATGGGATTGAGAGCAGGTGGGATCACCACATAGAGATTGGCCAGGAGGATGTGGACATGTCCTGGGACAGTGTGTCTACCAAAACGGTGGACAAGGAAGGAGAAGAGAGCAGGTATGTAGAAGAGGAAGATGACACCAGCGTGAGCCCCACAAGTGCTAAGGGCTTTGTGGCGAGCACCCCTGGATGGCAGGTGGAAGACAGCATGGAGGATGAAAGCACAGGAGACGGTAATGAGCACAGCATCCAGGACTGGTGACAGTAGTGTGGTGGCAAGCCCATACCAGATGTTGACTCGGGTATCTCCACATGACAACCGAGCCACACCCATATGCTCACAGTAGGTGTGTGGTATTGCTTTCCTCCCACAGTAAGGCAACTGCTGAAGCAAGACTACAGGCGGTGCCATCACACATGCACCTCGAGCTAAGGCAACCATGCCTGCGGCCCTCACCACTCGGGGGGTGAGGAAGGTGCCGTAGTGCAATGGCCAGCAGATAGCCAAATAGCGATCCAATGCCATGGTCAACAGGACTGAGGATTCTGCCACGAAGGCCACATGGGCAAAGAAGAGTTGAGTTAGGCAGGCCCCAAAGGAAATCTCTCCAGAGAAGCCCCATAGCACAGTCAGTGCTTTGGGTACTGTGGCTGTGGACAGGACCAGGTCAGCTGCAGCCAGCTGCCCTAGTAGCTGGTACATGGGGGCCTGTAGGGCTGGGTCAGCTATCACCAGGGCCAACAGCAAGGAATTCCCAATCACTGCAGCCAGATACAAAAGGCAGACAGGCACAGAAAGCCAGGCATGTGCTGCTTCTAGTCCTGGGATGCCCAGAAGGACAAAAGGTCCAGGACCAGAGCTGGGATCCAGAGCGAGGCTTGTGTGATTGAGAAGGATTAATGTGTGGCCTGGCTCCATTGTCTACCTTGATTGGGCCTCGTCCCCGTAGTGGCTGAATCAGGGGAACTGGGAAGAACAGTTCCTTGAGGACCATGGGAAAGTAAAGGGATTAATGAAATTCTCTATGCCTCTACTTTTTGTCGGAGCTAAAGCTTCACTCACCAAACACAGGCAAAAAAGAAAAGTAGAATGACGTTTGAAGAAATATGCTCCATTTTGCTCTGGAAGTTCCTCAGGCCCTCTCATTGGTATGTTCTTCTGTCCTCTCACCATGCACCACTGTGAGAAATGCTTTACTGGTGTTCATTCTAATCACAATTCCTCCCATTGCAAATTGGCCTATCCTTTATGCCCTTGCTCTCTAGTAATTTGTGATCCTATGAATGACTGATACTTCAGAAATAGTCCCTCTTCTGTAAGTCAGCCCTCCACCTCCACTTTCCCACTTGATATCTCTGGGTCCCTATATTGTCTCTGAAAATTTGATTCTCCCCATTCTTACTCTCTTATCTCAAGCCCCCAATCCCCTTTTTCTCTTCTGTCTCCCATCTCCCTCGATACCGAATCCACTCACTCACCCATCCATACTTATGGTTCTATACTGAAAGAGGGCCCTAGCATGCCCTACTATTACTGTTACCCTACAATACTTTTTCTCCAGGGTTCTGTTCCTCCCCTGATGTGGATGTTATGGCCCTGATTCACCTGTATGTCACTTCTGTCCATGGAGAGACCTCTTCTGTTGCTTCCTATAGGAAGAGTTTGCTCTTTCTCAGACACAGTGGGCTTGATCGAAGAAGGCTAAGGTTCCTTAGCAGATGGATGGGATGACTGGGCTCTGGCTGAAGCAGGAAGACACAAAGAAAAACCTCTACAATACATGAATGGATGATTGAAGAAGAGTTGGAGGATGGGTATAGAAGGTTGAGCATTGATTTGGAGTGTAGGAGACAAAGTCTACCCTAAAGATGGAAGGGGGAAGACTCCATACCTACCAATTCTCTCACTTCTATAAACCAGGGACTCCATTCCTGATCCTCAAAAGATTAGATCCTTTACTGACCTGACCTAGTGAATCCTGACCTTGTCTCAGGGAGTCCTGTCATTATTATCTGAATCTATCATCTCTGAAACCCCTGACCTTCCTGATCCCTGAGCCAGTTTTGCTCCCTAGGTTCAAAGTTTGGACAAACCTCTGCCATACGATACCTGAGAACCCTGACTCCCACGCCAGTTTTTCCTACCCGTCCATATTCCACTGAGGTGGAATATGGTGTCTTCTTTCTGGGAGGCACCATGTTGAAATGGATAGAGTTGGAACTGGATTCAAAAAGATCTGGGTTTGAATCATTCCTTGGATGCTTACTAGATAGTTGACAATGGGCAAGTCACTGTGTCTCTGTTTATCCACCTGTAAAATGGGGATAACAATACCTGCAGTAATACCTATTTTAAAAGGTTGTTATACAATGATAAATGCAAAACATTTTAAAAACTTAATACAAATGTCAATTACAGTTATTCTAAATATTTATTTACAAGAAAAACAGAGGTCAGAACTCAAAACAAAGGGCAGAAGTTATAGGCAGAGAGATTTAGCTTGATATGATATGAGGAAAAACATCCTAGCATCAAGAGCTGTGCAAAAGTTGATAGAATGGATTTCCTCAGATGGTGGTCAGTTCCTCATCGCTAGAGGTCTTCAAGCAGAAGCTACATGGATGCTTGTTGGGGCTGCTATGGAAGGGATTCCTATTCAGGTAAGGGAGGGAGTATGTATATGTAGCAGCAGCAACAGTTGGTAGTGGTCATGGTCATGGTGGTGGTGAGAGCAACAATAAAAATATTAGTAACTGCACTTATATAGCACTTTGAGGTTTGCCAAGCATTTTGCAAATATTTTGCCCTCATTTGCCATCACAAGAACCCTGCAGGTTCTAGGTACTATTATTATCTCTATTTTAGAGATGAAGAAACTGGGGCAGGCAGTGGTTATGTTACTTGCTCAGGGTCACACAACTGGTAAGTGTCTGAGGCTGAATTTGAACTTAGGTCAGGCAGACTTAGGTGCCTAATAATAATACTAGCTATTTTTATATAAGGCTTTATATGTTATTTCATTTGAATCCAGTCTAGAACTTCTGCCTCCCATTCAGGGGCTCTTTCCCCCCATACTTTTCTGAGACACTGAAGCACCCAGAGTATCCAGATAATTTACCTATAACTAGGACATTCCTTCTTGCCCCCTGAAAATCAGCCCCTTCTCTTCATTGCTCAACAAATAAAAGTGGGATTGACCCAGCATCGTAGATCAAGTTCATAAAAACCTACTTGACACTCATCAAATTTGAAGCTGGCAAAAGCCAGAATGAATAACTAATGCATTAGATAACAATTGTTAGACTGCAGTCTCAATATAAGTCAACAGTATGATTTGGCAGCAAAAAAAAAAAAATCTAATCACCTAATGGTCATGTTAACAGAGTCCAGGACTGGGGAAGTGATAATTCAGATGTACTCAACCTACAGCGGTTAGACTACTTCTGAAGTTCTGTGCTTAATTCTAGGCATCATATTTAGAAAGGACGCTGATAAGCCAGAAAGCACCCAGAGAACAACCGGGATAATGAAACACTTTTAGATCATGGCATGTGAGGATTGAAGTTGTATACATGCACCTGGGGGAATGAAGTTTTAGGGCCGATTATTGAACTTGTAAAAGTGGAGTCGTGCTTCAAGTATATGAAGGTCTGCCATATTGAAGAAGGGGGCAGCTAGGTGGTGCAGTGGGTAGAGTGTTAGGCCAGGAGTCAGGAAAATTCATCTTCCTGAATTTACATCTGGCCTCAGATACTAGCTGTGTGACCTGAGCAAGTTACTTAATCATGTTTACCTCAGTTTCCTCATCTGTAAAATTAGTTGGAAAAGGAAATGGTAAACCATTCCAGTATCTCTACCAAGAAAACCCCCAATGGGGTCACAAAGAGTAGGACATGACTGAAAAATGACTAAATGACAAAACATAGTGAAGAGAAGTTAGCCAAGTTCTCTGTTCAGTCCCAAAGATCAGAACTAGAAGCCAACAGTGAAAGAAACAGATTCAGGCTTGATGTAAGGACACAAATTCCCTAAGAATTAGAGCCATTCAAAAATGAAATGTGCTATCCTAGTCAGTTTCTGCCTCACTAGAGGTCTTTAAGCAGAATTTGGATGATCACTTTTTGAATATATTATTGAGGCGATTCTTGTTCAGGGGTATATTACACTAGAGTCCTTTCTAGTCCTAGAATGCTATGATCCTAAGATTGTCTCTGAGTTCCCCTTCAATTCTGTGATTCTGTGATGTGTGATCTGTTCTAGGACCCCAGGCTTCCTTTTAGTCCAACACAAAATGACCTGATGTCAGGATCTTAGTTCTCCAAACCCATGTTCCTACTTCATCATTGCCTAAATAACTACCATATATCCCATCCTTAATGGCAGCAGAGAGAAAGGAAACTCTCTCAAAACACTATTATGCTTTTCTCCTAGTCATCCAAAAAATAAACTCCTAGATCATTCCTAGAGTAGAAAGGGAAAGAAACTCTTTTTTTTCCAGTCAACAAGGCGACTTGGAACCCTATATCCTTCAAATGATAATAACTATAATGAATATAGTAGCTAGTATTCATGTGTATGTTAAGGTTTGTAAAATACTTGACATATATGTGCTCATTAGCTAAACCCAGTTTCTCTGGTCTGAGCTAGAAGGGGCAAAGGTGGGGGTCAGATGAACAGTTCCTCTGATCCAGGTGAATTCTCCTTGAAGGGACCCCAGGTAGTCATAAAGATGCTTCTGAATCTCTCATCAGTACTCGTCTCTGCTTTGTCTTGCCCACACATATCTCTTTGCTATTCCCTGCCTGACACTTTCCCCACTCAAGGCCTGTAGATACAGGGCCTTACTATCCCACTCACTCCCCACCCTGTCCCACCAGTAAGCCAGTGTTGACTCAGAAACTTGGGAAGCTTATTACAAGGAAGAGGTCTTATTGAACGAGGAGACCCAGTTTCCCCAACCTACCAACCTACAGGGGGCCAGTCCTTCTACTACCTGGTATGCCAAGCCCTTAAGTACAGAAACAGAAGGACCCAACTCACCACAGAAAAGGCACAGTGTGTACCAAGGAGGGTGTGGGAGAATACTGAAGCACACATTTTCCCCTGGCAGGAGTCCGGGATATTGGGTCCCAGCCCAAGGTTACATTTCATTGCCCCTTCCTGGCCTGATCAGGCTCCCCTCATTCTAACACCTGGGAGGATATAGGGACTCCGGGAAACACTGAAGGAGAGGAAAGGAATGTCTAATTCTCCAGTCCTTTCTTTGCAGTTTTCTTTGTGGGTCCGTCTTCTGCCTCATAAGGATAGATGTCTCAAAGGCTCTATCCTGAGCTCTCTTCTCTTCTCTCCCTATATTTTCTCCTTTGGAGATCTCAACACCAGTTGTTCATTTATCATCTCTACACAGGTGAGCCTCAAATCCATTTTAACAGCACTAATCTCTCTCCTTGAGCCTTCCTTCATTACTTATTGTCTGATGGACATTTCTACCTGGATCTCACAAGATGTCTCAAACTCAAGAAGAACAAAATGGAGCTCATCATCTTTCCCATTAAACCTGCCCTTCCTCCAGATTCCTTGATTTCTATTGAGGGTACTACCATACTTCCACATATTCTGGTTCAAAACCCTAAGAATCATTCTTGTCTTCATTTTTAATCAATTACCAATTCTTGAAAAATCTACCTCTGCAACATACTCTA